AGTGTCTGCTGAGTTGATATCGTTGTAACGTGATTTCGTTGGCATATGGTGTACTCCTTACAGCTAGGCTGATAGAAGTTCCTAAAGATCGCAGATCATCTAATATATTATTTTATCTCATGTCTCATTGGCTTTATTGGTCACACCGCATATATATTATTTGGTGATATTGTTCACCTACTCATATAAAACAAATATTGATAACACAGTAGTTCTAGCCTTATTCTTCAGAGAAAAACCAGGAGGATCGGGATATAGATGCGTTGATATTTCAACATGCATTTACCGAAACGAATCGCAGAAGTGCGCTACCAATAGTACCGCTGCTATTCGTTTCGGCAAATGCATGTTGCCGCAATATTAACGCATCTATATCTCCATTCTCCTGTTTTTTCTCAGAGGGATAAAGCTGTTAATACTGTCTTATGTATGCGCACAACGTTCCTCGCAAACGCACTTAGCAGCTTACGTAAAACACGCATTGCTAACGATCACGAGTAGCTATCACACTACGAACATATGGCCTTCAGTGGACATTGGATGGCGAGGAAGTTGCTGAACATGCAGGCAACAATGTCATTTTTCCGCCTCTTTGCATCTATTTTCCACTCAAATAAAAAACAATTTCAGGACAATGCATGGGGATACGAATTTGCTTGGAAAGTGGCTCCGATCCTCCACTTTCTTCCACGTGCGCGTATTTCTGATTCCGAACCAAACATTTTACACTGATTTCGATCCTAAGGACAAGGGTGTGTCTGTTTTGCAACAAACGCGCGGACGTTCTCCAGGAGTATGTTATTTTCGTTGTTGCCAAGTGTTCAGGTCAATACTCCCTGGACCACGGACTGTTTTACGAGTGCAGAGTTCTTATACTGAGGTATTGGCCTTCAGTATACCAGGACGTACTCGTTTAACGTTATTGAGCAAACGGTTATATTGACAATGCTCGACATTTTGAGCGATGCCTATGATCGCGAGTAAACAATACTGGGCAAGGTTAGGCAAAAATTATGATAAAAAACCGAGACACGTGAATCCAGAAAATGTTTCGAATCTGTAAGGGCACTGCCACGAAAAGATGTAAAAATAATACATCATCTGAACTCCCTGATCCCATCGCCCGATAAACGTTTCTACGCCAGGGACCGCACAAAACACAAGTCGTTTCAATAAACACAGGTCGTTTCGATAAACACAAACTTAATTCGATGGCCCGCACCGAGTGTCATGTTAGAATTCGCAAGCGAGCATCGGTGTTCAAGACCACTCATAAACACCTATTTCTAAACGTGCAAAACCCCAAACAAACCAGGTGCCATGATGATGTCCGTGTGTCCTGCCTCGGACGAAAGCAACGAATGTGAAGCGATTCTGTGGTCGCGAGTTTCGCGTTGCCTTCAGCTGTTGCTAAAGTTTGTACGTAGGATCAACCGAGCGTGGCACTGGTGACCGCTTCGATGAACACCTTGGAGACGCGAGTTTACGGAGAGCGTGCAACTCCCTGGAGAAACTCACGTTAGGCTAACGAGCAGCAATGGTTAACAGTACAATAACAACTTCGAATAGAAGTTTTAGCTCCAGCTAAATGCAACGCGTACCTCAAGGACATCAGAATCGCCGCGCATTCGTGATCTTTGTTCGCAGCTGAACACACAACCATCCGCATGGGAATTGGTTTGAGCGACATTACCCAGGTAACGACGTTAATAGATACACCACTTGCAATATTCTTTCAATCCTGATAGTCGATACGGTTCATCGAAAGCTCACGGCTCAGCCGTCTGTGCTTCGGACAGGTCTTCGTAACACCGTATGATAGGTGCTGGGCCACGAGAGCCTGTATACCCGGATATTCGGGAGTACCGTGAGGCTCGTACAATGTACGCGGTGCCTTATCACCGTGGTTAGTAACTTTGCAGGATTATATAATTAATGCATTACAATGCCGTCAATAACGCTTGCTTTGAACCGTCACCTAACCGGCACATCCTGGTATACTGAAGTACGATAGCTATGCGTGATGACTCTGAGCTCACGATGGCGAAAAGCCAGGAGTGGGAGGCATGTCTGGCCCACATCAATGTTAATACTAGATCTGGGACTAACATTGTAGTATTTTGTGAGCATCTCGCTATCTGTTGGCTTTTGCTCGCAGCTCCAGCTCAGTTGAGGACCCTGCGGTGCTTTCCTGTGTCAGGGTAAAAGACAGGCGATACCACATAGCCCCAGCAGCCTAGTGTGTCACAAAAGCCCTCATGACGGCCAGTTACAGACAAGCTGCAAGAATTGCATCCCGTGTTAAATGTCGTCGCAAGACATACGAGTTATAATCGCCACAGTCTGGTGAAGCATAATAAGGGAATGTAACTGTAACGTTTCGCATTTTCAAAACTCCGCACAACTGATGCTGACGAGAGTGTCGAGATGCCATTTGGAACAAAAGCCAAATGACCTGAAATAGGGCGTTATGGGTTTGGCCGGCCGAAGCAATGCCAATGATGAGCATGCTTTTCCGTAGTTGAAGACCTCGCTGCCAACAATTTGACTTTTCGATGGGCGTCTGTTCTCATTCCTTTGTCAGCTAATATAACGGGTTGAGGCGAATGGAGACGTGCTTCATTTTCTTATGTACCCATTCACCCAGCGATGCTCATATCTCGATCGTGAATACACCCTTGTTAACGGGATGCGCCCACGTTGCCTCGCTTGGCTGCTGTCGTCATCCCCCCGCGTCCACTCGGCAGACGGGTGGACAGCCTTTGTGCCGTCACAATCGAAGAGGCTTAACGGCTTACGAGGCGTAAAGAGCGGCTGAAGGAATACTGTCAGCTTAGGGATACTTGGAACTAAGACCGGTTTTGTAAATATAGCTGAATTCGGTATGAACGCTAATGTCTAGCATTGCTTTTGCTGAGGCCTGGACTACGAACATCGCTGAAACAGCCGAGCTTTGTTTCCTTTCCTGTTTAGCACTTCTGTTTGCGCCCCAGGCGAGCTGATTGTGGGCGCGTATGTATACAGACCGGTGTGCTATTGCGCCCAGACGCTTTCCGACATGTGTACGAATGGGCGCAAAAGGAAACCGCCCTGAAACTAACCAGCATTTCCGGCCGCGCCGCGCCGGCCGTCTCGCCGTCTGCGGCCTCGCGCCGTGACCCGGGTCACCGCAGCGGTGCCTCCGGTCGGAGACATGCCAGCGCGTCCGCCTGGTGGGCGTGTGCTGTGCTGTGGAGCGTCCCGCCGCGCCGTCTAATCGTCCCAGCATGTGATGAATGAGCCGCTACTGCCCGGGCGGCCGCCGCCTCCGCCGCGCTGTTTCCCCCAGTGGAGATACGGGCGGACCGACGTTATCTGATGCAGACCGGCAGACAGGCGCTAGTGACCGGCGCTGTTTTGGTGCCCCCGACCTAGCCAGACGGGTCACGTCAAGGAGAACGTGACGCACCGGGCGTCCGCTGCGGCAGCCGGAGCCACAGACACGGCGCTGCTGAAAACCACCCGGCGTGCACCGGCGAGCGCCTGCCGGACATCGTTGTTCACAATGGCGCTTCAAGCAATGCTCAGCAATTTTGAAACATTCTGAAGAATCCTGCAGGTATGTCCACGGAAACGTCCGGAAATATCCCACTGATACGCCTGTGCTCAGGCGAGTGTTTTCGATAACACATGCCTTCTATCTGCCGACTTCTATCCGGCTTCTGTCTTCTAACTCCCGAGTGGGAACACGTGCATTACCTATCGCTGTATTATATGTGGCCACACAAATCAAAATGAATTTGGCTAACGCGCAATCCTTCAAATACACTGGGGAATTCCACGTCTTTCAAAATAATCCCACAAAGAACCCTTCGGAGGAATAGAATAGAATGGAATAGAATAGAATATGTAACATAGAGCTACGATATTGTGAATAATACACTTTAGGTCACTCTAAAACGCCGGCAGCAATTTTCTACGTCATACTTCTAACGGTGTTCTATCTATCGATAAAAACGGATTGCTTGCAACTTTGTAACATCGCTCTCGGACCTAAGAAATCAACAATGTGTGGTTTTGCGCCCTTTGCGTAGACCTAACTCGCTCTGTGCTGATCCCGCATTGAACCAAGAACCGTCAGCAGGTTATATTACGTGACGCTTGTGTACTAGCTGGTGACGCATGAACTGTCTTCTGTCCTTAACCACGCATGAACTGGGGTAGAGAACGAAAAATGTCTTTACTTAGTCTTGAGCCCACGACCTTTCGCGCAAGCTCGCAACACTGCGCCACCGACTTCGGGGCGCTCACAACAGCGGAGTTGGCTGGCTGAACAATGTCTCGCGCCAGACCAGCTGAGTGACGTCACCGCTGGCCAGCTTTGGCCGCCGGCACCCCCGGGAGGTACCTGCCAGCGCATCTCACGAGCTCATGTCCCTCGCCACACACGAGTCCATCGCATGCGGCAGATTGGATCAAGACGAGCCGTCTAGTCTTGACTGGCTGCTCCGATGTCAGATATCATCTAATGCGTCCCATCATCCGTCACACTTGTTTACAAGGCTATCGGCGGAACCGGTCAATGCGTGCGTCACACCAGTCGACTGTGAGCTGATCGTACCGCGCGGTCTCACAGCTGGCCACAATAACACTCCCATGGTTCCCGCCCGTCCATCCCAGTCCCCATAGCCGTTCTGACGTACGTGCTGCTCGTGAGTAATGGCTTTTCTGAAGACCAGCAAGGCTGATAGTTACTATCGGACATGTTGCGATACATGGCCGCGTTTACATCGGTAAGAACCAAAAGCAATTCGGTTGGCTCGCTTACTAAGCTGCAGCCTTGACAAGTCGGGACACCTACAACTGGATTTCTGCACAGCAATTCCCAGAGTCCTCTAATCTGGCCAAGGGCACAGATGCACTGGGAAGTGTCTCACAATCAGAGCCGCTCCCCCGAACCCCCTTCAGAAATTGCGCCGTCCCAGTCACCGGATTCTGGGGCCAACAAACACACGCAGGTGTAGAATGTCTGACAGTGTATTGTGATAAAATGGGCATGTTGCTTGGCGGTCGGGCGACAGGCCGATCAGAACCTAAGCAGATGAATGAGAGGAAGACTCGTACTAGGCTGTGATGTTCTCCACGACGCCTTCGCTGTTGCGGCCGTTGAAGAGAAAGAAGTTGTTGAGTGGCTTGTCTTTCTGGCTGAGCGCCTTGATGACCTCCTGAGCGAGAACGCCTCCCACCACGGCACAGGCGGGGCTCAGCTCGCCCAGACACAGGCTGCCGGCGGGGCAGAGCTCCATCAACCACGGGCAGAGACATCAACAGACACCAGCCGGAACACAGCCCCGTCAACCACGAGCAGCGGCATCAACAGACACCAGCCGGGACACAGCTCCGTCAACCACGGGCAGCGACATCAACAGACATCAGCCGGAACACAGCCCCGTCAACCACGAGCAGCGGCATCAACAGACACCAGCCGGGACACAGCTCCGTCAACCACGGGCAGAGACATCAATAGACACCTTCCAGGACATAGATCCGTCAACCACGGGCTGTGGCATCAACAGCCACAGGTCGGGACACAGCTCCGTCAGCCACGGGCTGTGGCATCAACAGACACCAGCCGGAACACAGCTCCGTCAATCACAGGCAGCGACATCAATAGACACCAGCCGGGACACAGCTCCGTCAACCACGGGCTGTGGCATCAACAGACACCAGCCGGAACACAGCTCCGTCAACCACAGGCAGCGACATCAACAGAAACCAGCCGGGGCACGGCCCCGCCAACTACGGGCAGTAACATCAACAGACATCAACCGGGACACAGCTCCATCAACCATGGGAAGCGGCATCAACAGCGCAGGCCGGGGCACAGGCCCATCAATCACGGCATCAGCAGACACCGGCCAGAGTACAGCCCGATCAACCATGGACAGCCCACGAACGCATTCTAAAATTTAATCATGAATGTAAAATACCAGTTAACTGAGCGAGAGCATTTGCAAACTATTCATCCGATACCGGGCCGAAAATGACGCAGCTACCTCGCCATATGTGCTGATGCGTATTGAATTATCGGAAACTGACATCTGAAGTCGTTTGGTTACCGAACATGTAGAAACATGCACCTGCGCACGAAAGAACTGTGCTGAAATTATTTGTCCACAGCCAATTGCGCCTTCACTCCAAAACTGAAGGTCGCTCAGAATTCCCAAAGTTTTCCATGACGAAAGTCTTTTCGGTGGCTATCAAACATGAGTAGTGAAAAGGTGGGTGATCGAAGTCGGTGAAAAAATTCCGCACTCTGTGTTGCAAAGCCCGCGTTTTGACCGGCGCATGACGTGCATTCTTGTGCAGTACTGGTTGTGGAACTATACGACCATGGATGACATCATTCTTAGATGTCCAATGGAATAATGTGCGACATCAAGCTTGTTATGGAAATTTGCCCGTCTTCACCCAAGGTCCGATGAAAAACCAGCCAAAGCAAACACACCGGACACCGGATAAACAGCGGCCACAAATATACAACAAACCGAGGTGTAGATTAACAGTTGAAAGATAAAACTCCCATCTTCCCTGGGACAGAAGGCAGTACGGAACCGCGTCTTCCAGCCGTGTCGCCAAGTCCGAGCTAATCAGGGTCAAAACCGGTTGCCCGTGCGTTTCCGACCAGTTCTGATTTAGTGTAATATCTCCGCTCCGAGCCTGTGGGTCACCCGGCCGGGCCAAACGAGTGGGTACAATAATTATTAACGCAAAAAGCGAGTTGACCTGACCCGTTTCGTGTAAAGCCGCCCGGCCCGGGTGAGAGGTGCGCTGATCCTGGCGGCCGCGACCGCGGCCCGTGTCCTGGGCCCGGCCTCGGTTCGAGGTGGGCTGGACCTAGCGCCGCGGCCGCGGTCCGTACCCACCGACCCGGCCCAGCCCGGCCAACACTCACCTCACGTACGCGCGCCATTCATGCCGCGCCCGGCCCCGGATGCGGCAGTAACGGCGCGGGCGGCGTCGATCACTGTTTATCACACAGCGCCGCCGACACGTTACAATGCGATCCGCCGCCGGCCGGCGGCCTCCGCGGGTCCAGGGCCGTTACCCCCGCCACCGGACCCAGGCGCTGCGCCATGCTGGCCGGGGCTCAAATGGCGCATTTCATTGCTGCTGCTGGACCGGCAAGGAGCTGGACCAGTTGTGTGCGCCGATATGGGAATCGAATTTTGAGGGCCTTGGGGACGATGAGGCAATGTATTTGTAGGCGGCAAAACCTCCGCTTTGGGCAATCGCACCAGTCAACTGAGGGGACAATAAGTTGCTTCGTTGATGCTCATGACTGCGTACTGAAACTCAACGCATCGCATGCTACAACAGTTTCCTTTGCTGCATAAATAAGCAGTGAGCATTTAAGTGAAAGCAAGTTTACCTTCACAACCGGGCAGTGTGAACAATATCCTGGAATCTTACGTCAACTGCATTTTGAATATGGTCTTCTCATCTACAGTCAACCCGTGGCTACATAACTTGGAAAGAAATCTGACTTTGAGTGTGCAAACCGCTTCGGGAACACATGGTGACGCAAGCCATGCGGGCCCCGTCACACTGATGCTGGAACAGCAGTGTCAGGCGCCCCAACAGACAGGCTGAGGGAGCTAGGCTGATCAGCTGGGCGCTGGGTAGCCGGCAACCGGACAACCGGACAACCAGACAACCGGACAACCGCCTGGACTACACGGGGAACAAAACTCAGTCGACATCGCCAAATGTCAGCCGATGCCAAGAAGCTTACCCCAGCGCGTGCTCGCGGTAGCAGAATAATCGGCAGACAGTGGCTAAGCTGTCCCTGTGGAACAGCCAGTTACCACGTGCGGCTGCGCCAATGCCCAGACAGTGGCTAAGCTGTCCCTGTGGAACAGCCAGTTACCACGTGCGGCTGTGCCAATGCCCAGACAGTGGCTAAGCTGTCCCTGTAGAACAGCCAGTTACCACGTGCGGCTGCGCCAATGCCCCGACAGTGGCTAAGCTGTCCCTGTGGAACAGCCAGTTACCACGTGCGGCTGTGCCAATGCCCAGACAGTGGCTAAGCTGTCCCTGTGGAACAGCCAGCTACCACATGCGGCTGTGCCATTGCCCAGACAGTGGCTAAGCTGTCCCTGTGGAACAGCTAGCTACCACATGCGGCTGTGCCATTGCCCAGACAGTGGCTAAGCTGTCCCTGTGGAACAGCTAGCTACCACATGCGGCTGTGCCAATGCCCAGACAGTGGCTAAGCTGTCCCTGTGGAGCAGCCAGCTACCACATGCGGCTGTGCCAATGCCCAGACAGTGGCTAAGCTGTCCCTGTGGAACAGCTAGCTACCACATGCGGCTGTGCCAATGCCCAGACAGTGGCTAAGCTGTCCCTGTGGAACAGCCAGTTACCACATGCGGCTGTGCCAATGCCCAGACAGTGACCTCCACGGCCCGGACGTTTCTGTCATATCGCAGCAGAGTGGGACACAGCGGGCGGGTCTTCAGGGCGTCGTGCATATTCAGACACGGTGACTCAGTGCTTGTGTCGTGTTTCTTCCGGGATGTTCAGTTAAAGCTTGAGCAGGTGCCATGTCTCTGAGAAAAAATCACCCCGAAGCAGGGCTCGGAGACCGCTGAAATTCCAGCTAGCGGGCTATATCGTGTTCCATCATAACACGCGGCGGGAGGCCGACCCGCCCGGAGGAGGCCGGCCGGTGACGTCAACGAGACGCACGTCTACCGGCCGCTCACTCCGGTGGCCCATACCGCGCATCGTTCACCGTTCGGGGCGAGGACCACGCTTCCCGTGCTCTTTTTTGTTGTGGCGTGAGTCGGCAGGTGGCGTGGCAAGCTGAGTCGACACCGTTCATTGTGCGTCGAGTGTTTGCGCCACGAGCAACCACATTGTACGCACACCTTAAACCTAAATTCACGCAAAAATGCGAATATGTTTAACAAACGTCCACATTTTTCTGGGGGAGGGAGAAACCACTCTGACCGTTCTCTTCGGAGACATCAACTACACAACGCATTGTGAAGGATATATACATACGTATGTACATATGTACATATATATATATATATATATATATATATATATATATATATATATATATCGCGCGTATCTGCACTGTACTTCAAGTGTTTTGTATGAGAAATGAGCTACATCCCGACCAAAGGAAGGGTTAAAACCGTGAGCTTCCCATTGTCCTCCCGGACAGATGTGCCGAGGAAGTGACAGGCCAGGAGAAGACTGTCGGACAGATAAGCCTTACAGCAGCAGCAGGTAAACACACCCAATATATGTACATTCAACCCGCGCGGGTTGTAGCATTCGCGCGCTTTTTACAGCACACGCCAGCGAGTGTGGCTCGCGATGTGCTTCGATATACGTGGCACGGGGCTAATGGAAAGCCGCGGTAGTGGTCCCAGCGTGCCAGTGCGCAGTCCCGTATTTCAAGTACACCTGTGAGGCCGCACGATCTAGGCATGGCCGTAACCAGCAATGTGGTCGGTGGGGCCCAAGAATTCAATGGTAAGTGAATCTAACAACACGAATCCAATAGCAGCAAGGGTTACAGGATACATTATCGACACGTTTAATATCAACAGACAAATGTCAATCGCCAAAGATCGGAATGCGAAATAGCGATATGGAAAAGATCGACTCACACCACAAAATATTAAATGCAAAGCGTCGAATCTGGAAAATATTGGCGCTCCAAATACCAGCATGCAAAACCTAGACACCGCAAATGACTGATTTGACCGTTTGATGCAGGGTCTTAGATTCGTCTGGACAAAACAAGGGTATAGATAGTCACTACAATTTACAATTGCGATATCTTATACTAAATTACAAATGCGATATATTATAACGTATTCATGGTACATCTTTCGGTAGTGACCACGACAAATGGAAATAGCACGTCATGGAATTAGCCACACGGGAAAAATTCGACTCCCACTGTGGGCATGCGGATTTCCTCGGGACCGATCTCAGCAAAACAATTTTTATTGGTCGGCCCTGGCCCTGGCAAAAACAAAACAAGGAATCCAGCAGCATCAGGCACTCTGGCAACTGGGTTCAAAAATACCGCAACTGTTTCTGGTGGGTGCACGACCCGGTAACTGGTGCCACCGCGAGCATGCGCTCCAGGAAGTCGCACCTGCCCACAGTCAACCCAGGGCCCTGGGCAGAACGCCAACCCTCAACGGGTGTCGGGCCGGATTGTCATTCTGTGCATAAGGGCTCTATGCCACACATCAATGGGGGACATATCAGGTCTTTGTGTTTTGTTTCAGGGCATGGCTGGTTGAATGTAACGCGCTCGGCTTGGGTGGGGAGAGGGGGGATCAATTTGACCCTTCCCGAGAGCCGAAAAAATAAGAGAGCTATACACACCAGATTCGCAAGATTGGTAACAAGATAGGTAGGAGTCGATTTAAAGTCCTTTGTGTCAATTTTGGTCCCTAGACCTCTAGATCTCGACCTTTGAATCAACCAGGTAAAATTCGAGACCAGAGCTGTCAGGCCTACCCACACAATCATCTTAACCTATATACTTTTCCAAGAAAAGGGTCATTCGAGATTATATCAGTCACTCAGGTCAAATTTGATCAGGTAAAATATATTACCAGGTCAAATACGTACCAGGTGAAATATGCTACCATATGCCACAGTGATTTAGTGACCTATCTATCGCGCCATTTTTTATTCACGCGTATCGACGCCTGCGGTCCTAACGGTTCAATCAGTTATTTACGGCGTCGACGTTTCTCACGCAAATATTTCGAGTTTCAATATTTCATGGTGTCGATATTTGGTGAGTTGATATTTTGATACTCGATATTGCACGTGCAGATATCTTGCGAAGCTAAGATTTTGTGTGCCGACGCTTCTCATGTCGATAGTTACGCGACCACATTTTGTTCGTTTATGTTCAGAACGTCGATTTTTTGTCGGGATACCTATCTCAAATGCCCTGATGGGCCTAACAAGTTTACAACCGAGCACATCAAAGCCGTATGCAAGGCAGTATAAGGGCAGCATCGCAATGCAAGAGGCAGCACGGACAGTCCCAAGCAGACCTAAACAGACCAGCCGCCGCGTGTTTGTACAGACGTTACAAACTGCAGTAGACCAAACGTCCCGGTATACCGGGATGTTCATGGCAAATATCCCAGTCACTATGTGCGGCCTGATTATCTGGTGCCCTGCAGCAGGTGGCGGTGAGAAGGGGGGACTCTCTCCCAGGAGGGCCGGAACTGGGAGGTTCACCACACTGAGATTCACCTCAATTAGACTCCTGTCAGCGGCCGTACCTACAGGCAGACTCCCGACAGGGGTGTACATACGGACAGGTCCCTCGCCAATCAAAGCAGCCACTTAGCAACTTTCAAATTAATCCTTTGATAATACGCAGCACGAACCAGGTTCGAACGGGATCGTCCGCTCCCCGTCCACCATCCGTTTTTGGTAAGCTCACACGTCTCTGACAGGTCTCGCCAGGGGCTGCCCACACAGAGCGTCAGCCGCCCGAGGCCGGCGCCGCGCGGGGTTGCCGTGTCAGGTCTGCCAGGCGGCGGGCTGACCGCGGCGGACCTCGGTCTCGGTCGGTCGGAGCCGATCCGTCCCGGCTGGCCAGCCAGGACGGGGCCAGATTCCGGCCCGCCCGAGGACCCTGTCCCGGTATGCGGCCGCGCGGGCCCGGCGCTCGCCTGGCCCCGGATCGGCCGGCCCGCTCGGAGATCTGATAGCAGCGCGTCCCAGCCGCGTCCCGCCAACAGCGAACGGTCCGGCGCACAGCCCGGGCGCCCGCTCGGCAATTGGTCCGAGGAGTTAACACAGATGTGGGCCGATCCACTGAACGCCACGCCGCTAAAAGGTAGGTAGGTCCAGCACTCGGGCTGTGATGGAGCACACACCGGTTATTATGACAGCAGAAAGAGATTCTTTGCAAACACATGCCCAAACGTCCAGCGATAAACACACCACTGACGACTATTGACGATAAAATCACGTACACAAAACCATCAAAACAGCACTGCCGTTCTGACATACGTGTACGTGTGTGCGTGTCGGTCTATCTTGGCAGAGTATTTTCATGTATGTATGTCTGACTGAAAACGACCACTGACCGCGCGTTAAAAGTATTTTGATGCATCACTCGAGGTGCTTGGCCTTCGACTACGCAACTTCGTTAAGGCGAAAGACCGTTCATACAAAAATATCTCATATTCGTTGATACTTGCATATTCTAACGTTTCGAAACCTTGACTTGTCTGTGGAGAAATATCAATGGCACAAGTGTAAGTTTTGAGTTTCTGACTCATCTTTGGAGAACTATAAAGGGTATAAGTGTAAGTTTGAAGTTCATTACCCATCTTTGGAGTAATATAAATGGCACAAGTGTAAGTTTTGAGTTTGTCAATATGTATGTATCGCTAGGCCATCAGCTAGCTACTTATGTATAGGTCAGCCGGCTTCGGCCTAATGTGTCCAGACCCCAGCTCGTAACGTCAGGAACAACGTCTGGTGCGAAGGTCAGACCAGATGCTAGATAGATCTGGGAAAACTTCATCATCAGTATCAGCATTTACTCCTGCCAGTCGTCCCTGACATGACCAGTCGGGTCATAACGGCCGAAGACAGCGTAAGCGTCTCTCTGCTCTCTGCTCTCCGTAAGCGTCTCTCTGCTCTCTACTCTCCGTAAGCGTCTCTCTACTCTCTACTCTCCGTAAGCGTCTCACTACTCTCTACTCTCCGTAAGCGTCTCTCTACTCTCTACTCTCCGTAAGCGTCTCTCTGCTCTCTACTCTCCGTAAGCGTCTCTCTGCTCTCTACTCTCCGTAAGCGTCTCTCTACTCTCTACTCTCCGTAAGCGTCTCTCTACCCTCTACTCTCCGTAAGCGTCTCTCTGCTCTCTACTCTCCGTAAGCGTCTCTCTACTCTCTACTCTCCGTAAGCGTCTCTCTGCTCTCTACTCTCCGTAAGCGTCTCTCTGCTCTCTACTCTCCGTAAGCGTCTCTCTGCTCTCTACTCTCGGTAAGCGTCTCTCTGCTCTTTACTCTCCGTAAGCGTCTCTCTGCTCTCTACTCTCCGTAAGCGTCTCTCTGCTCTCTACTCTCCGTAAGCGTCTCTCTGCTCTGTACTCTCCGTAAGCGTCTCTCTGCTCTCTACTCTCCGCAGGCGTCTCTCTACTCGGAACACTTTGGTATGAACCAGCCCTCCAGTGGCCAAAGGTTATGACTCATAGCAAGATTGGAGGCAGACGCTTCAAATCTTCACGGCGTGTATACACTCTTTTTGTACATCTTATTACACATCGAAAGTTCAGTCATAAAAACACCCAGCAGTTGCTTCCATTCACCAGTTACTTCCAACGAGCAAAATGCCATGGGGACAGCGGCGCAAGCCATGGCGGCTCTCTGAGGACGCCCCGCACAGTGGCCAATAACATATGACCGAAATACTGGTCAGCAGCCTTTGTACACTGGCAGCAGATGGGCGAAGAAAACAAAAGCACTGCATCAGCCCCGTTTACGTACGATTTTATATGCTGCCAGAAAGAAGACGGCGGCCGCCAGAAAAAAAAACTCGAAATGCCCAAATGCTCATTTGTTGAAAGCAAATTCGTTAAAACGATCGTGAACGCTTTTCGTTTGCAATCATTTGTTGAAGGCAGATGCGTTGAAACGATTGTGAACGCTTTTTGTTTGAAACATTTTTTTCCCCCAGACCGATTTAGAGCGCGGATTGGCAAGACAATTAATGTCATCAGAGCTATATGTACATGCCCCTAGTTTCGCACGATGACGTCCGTCGTTGCTGGCTCCAAATCAGACGTGTGGCCGGGCCTCCATATCCTTACTAAGCCGCGAGAGCGGCTGGTCGCTGATTGGTCTAGGTTTCGTCCAAGACATGTCGGCGACGACTGGTCGAGCGCTGTTCACGGGAAGATTAAAGAAAAACTCGCCTGAAAGCAAGACATGTCCTCCTTGCACAGCGTTACTTGCAAGAAAAATCTGCTAAGCAGATTATCAATCAGGCCCCCCAATGAGGCCTTCAATAAATCCTACGCCAACATCGTGTGTGGGGATGGAGGGGGGGGGGGGGGGTCGTGTGGACGGGTCACGTGCTTACTGCAAGCTGCACCCGTATCTGAAGTACCTGAGTCCAGGAACAAATACAGAACCATGCCCTCCTGAATACCAACTAGATAAGCTTGTGCCTATAACCTAGCTCACATAGAGCATAAACACACAGCGATTATGCAACACGCCTGCAGCGAATGTGGCGACGAGGTCGACAGCATGCGGAGTTTCGGAGTGCTAGCTCGGCACGACCCAGTGCTGACCACACGCCCCGCTCTAGTGAGCGCGCGGCTGCCGCCAGGGCGCCGCATTCCGGACGGCCCCTAGCAACGGGTGCCGCATTCATTAAGGGCCGGTCTGCAGCGAGCCGGTGGCGCGGCCGGCCGCCGGCGACAGGCGCCGTCAGCGCTGCACGCCGGCAGACATCTGCATGCGACCCAGCACGGGCGACGGCCCCTCCTGAGGCGGAGGACCGCTGCGGCGTCGCGCGCCGGCGCATGGCGAGCGACGGCGACGGCGACGGCGACGGCGGCGGCGGCGGCGGCGCTCACCTGGTGAACTCATCGCCGATCTTGTCGGCCGGCACGCCCAGCCGGCCGGCCACGTCTGAGCGCAGCCGCAGCAAGTGGGCGGCGTCGGCGGCGGCGCTGCCCGGCAGAGGCCGGCGGCCCTGTTCCGCCCGGAACGCCTGCAGCACTGTCCAGCACGCCCCGCTCACCACACAGTCACACGAGCTCACGCCAGTTAATGACAAACCGCGCTCGTATTGCATGTTGCCGGAAAGTCCGCCCGCTCGAAGTTCGTATGCAACTGCCCAATCATTGATATCGCGCGACTAGAGTTGCGCTCATCGTTGCTGCAAACTGGGCGAGCCTGCGATCAGCAGTGGCAAAAACATTAGCTTTTAGCCCGCGTGATGGCCGCACCGCGCACGCAGAAGCTTTCGAACCGTCCAGGTAAGACCCATTGACCCCGCCGCATCGCCAGCAGGATTTCTATTCAGTCATATGAGTTCAACACGCTGTCTACAGCAAAACGTGCAAGAGCGGAACAAAGCACAAAACTAACAAAATACGAATGTACAGCACCAGCATACCTACCACGGATGACGAAAAAGATACTGGAGGTTCTTTTCAAGGTTTGTTGCCGCTCAGCGGTGGTCCAGTCAATGCTGAGTGCGACATCTATCGGACGGAACTGCAAGCTGCGCTTCACGGTGCGACACTCCACATCTGAGCGCTGACGCTTGTGCTCCGGCTCCCCCGGCTTTCGCGCCGGCAACGGTATCTCCCTGAAAGCGGCGGTGGGAGATCAGCACCACATCACAGGAAGCAGACTCTCATAACTGACTGCACCGGAGTCCAACGCACGCTTCATCACCCTGAAACAATGGATGATGGCGTAACCCATTAGAACCCAAGCAATCTGCAACCTAATTTATAAAAGGAGTGTTCTAGGTGTTGTGCCAATGTGTTCAGCCGACTTTTTGACACTTGATGATGATTTGATTTTGATTTTATATATAATGATGATAATGATATTATATGATAATTATATTACATGATAATGATTTTTACATGTGATTGGGTTTGCCGCTGGTGTGGTTAAAACTGCCGCTAACTGGCAAAGCCTCAAATATACGGAATCCTCTCCTTTTCATCAATTACGCGGCTACCACACGCATTTAATGGTGCTTGTGTTACCCACACAGGCACCAGTACAAGGATTCAATGGAACAAGCATTAAAAAGCTAGCAAGCGGATGTTTGGCCGGTCATTGCATCGGCAGAATTTATTGTGTGCATGATCGGAGCAGCCGATAGCACAGCGGCGAGCATCGCTGCGCTCCAAGCAGTTGGCCAGAAGTCGATTCCCAACCATCGCCTGGCCCGCTTATATTGGGACTAAGAGCATGAATACTTGAAACGCGGTTCAGTGGGGAGTCCATTATCTGCAAAAACTTAATGGTCATAATTAATTAATTATATTAATATAATAATAATAAACATAAAAAATTAATAGGAAGGTAGTCAAACCAATAAATACTTCTGTATAGCACTACAACATGAACTCTCATAACATACGTAAGGGGCAGACCGAGCCGGCTCCGGCTCCGGCTCCGGCTCCGGCTCCGGCTGCGGCTGCGGCTCCGGCCCGGCTCCGGCCCCCGCCCATCCCATCCAAATTCAACCTGTCTTGCCACCAATAGTGTCTGACTTCGCATTTAACCAATTTCAGTTTTACCTGGCTTGCAGAAGCTATTCAAGCAGGGTGCTGCCAGGTGCCCAGGATTGACAATGCCTGTCGTGCCCACAAATAATATCATACGACCAATATGGTTGAGCGACATGGTTGTCACCAGATAAATGTGAGCAGCTATCCCTCACGCGCATACATGTGATTTTCCATCAGGCTACAACCTCTTTCACTCCATTACTCCTAGCATGTTTTTTCGATGCAGATGTCAGGCTGACCCCAATAATGCTTAACATGCACATTATGTACCTTATGTATGTACCTTATGTATCTTATATACCTTATGTATTATGTATGTATGTATGTACCTTATGTTATGATGTTTTGCTGTTCCGCGGCACGCTAAATAGCGAACCACGTATTTTTTGCGGCGAAAAGTTTCCCACGTTTTGTCAGCCAGTCCTTTTTTGCCGACAGTACTTTCTGCCAGCTGGTTTTAACTGGTAAGAACGGGCCGACAGCGACTGTTTTGACTCGGTTGTTGCTAGCCCCACCTGGTTATAAGCCAAACAAAGTGGAAATGACAGGCAGCTGGCTACAATGGAGACGGATCGGCCGCCCGCATCCCGCCGAGCAGAGGCTGGCGCTCGGCACTCACTCAACAAACTCGTGGAGGCCCAGGTCGGCGAACATGAAGCCGTAGAAGCCGTACACGTCGCCGGCGAAGAAGAGCAGGCCGCAGCGCCGGCAGAGCGCGTTCAGCCGCTCCAGCTCGGCGTCCGGGCAGCCGGTGGCCACCACCACGTCGTAGCGGCTGACCTCCTCCTGGGTCAGCTCGGCGGCCGGTGTCGTCAGCGCCCTGACCGCCACCATCGGGTTCAGTCGCTGGGCGCGCTCCAGGGACGCCTCGGCACGCTGCGGGTCCGACGGCCGGGCTGGGGTCAGGGACAGGCCGCGCGGGGCAGCGGCTGGGTCAAGGAGCCGCCGGGCAGCGACGGCCGGGCCGGGCTGGGCGATGTAGAGGCTCGGTCCGCGACACACAGCGGCGCCGGCGTCAGCTGACACACCGGACAGTGCGCCGTGTGCGACGGTCCGGACACAGCGGCGCCGGCGTCAGCTGACACACCGGACAGTGCGCCGTGTGCGATGGTCCGGACACAGCGGCGCCCGGCGTCAGCTGACGCACAAAACAGGGCGCCGTGTGCGACGCCCGCACGTCCGCTGCAGCGACCAGAGCCGGCCCGACCGCGGCCGACCGGCATACATGCTCCATGCTCCCACACGAACACCTTTAACAGTCATTATCACAGGAGATGGGAGGGGCTTATCATCAGCATGATGTGTACGCCATCAGAGCCAGCACTGCCCATATGTGCTTCAGGTGCACATGCCCCAGATGCTTCACCACGCTAAATATTTAATAAAAAGCACCCCAATTGAAGGTCATAACCAGACACATAGTCATTCAGCCTTCCGGTATCCCCGTTCACTCCCACCTCTCAGGTCCATCTGGGCATACGGCGGTAAGCTCACATTGGCACCCAGCTGGTCGGTGGGCACGAAGAACTGGCAGGCGGCGTCTGCGGTTGTGACCTCGGCCGAGTCCATCAGGGTCAACGACTTGACGCCAGCCAGGATCAGGTTCTTGGCCACCTCGGCGCCCAGACCGCCGGCGTGGACCAGGAGCACGCGGGCGGAGCGCAGCCTGTCACCACACAGAGACAACTCAGCCCAGGCCCAGTCAGAGGCACACAGAGCATGGCACGGATGTATGACGGGGGCACACAGGTGGAGCGCACCCTGTCACATACTGATGGCCAACAGGCTGATGACTTTACACAGCCAGATGGACTGTGCCAACATACAAAGAGGACACATCAGACTGATGGTTTATCTAGGCTCAGACTAGGACTGACAGGCTTATCATGTGATGATGTGAACAGCCTGACATGGAAGGTTTGGCACATACAGGTTGGTATGTATGTGACATTTTTGGTGCTAAGATATAAAGTATCAAGAGCATATGCATGGTGATCCTGAAAGTTTTGAATACAAGGGCAGTGATTACCAGCCGACACTTTTATCTGGAATTTTCCAATCACATAAGAAGCATGCTTTCAATAACACACAATGACATCTGGTGCCATAAGCAAGTGCAAAACAGCTTACCTGTGCTGTGCATTCAGTCCCCAAAGACGGATCTGTCTGTCATACAGGGCAGCCTCCTCTTCTGTAATATCCCCAGCCTCAAATTCCACCATCTTTAGAGCCAGTACCTGAAACACCACAGTATCACATCCTGCACTGAACTGCATCTCACGCCAGAGCCACTGAATGGTTTCAGAAAGAATCATACACTACAGTGCAGCAGAAGGCCTCAGTATATTGCTAAATGAGAGGACAGGTAAATGTTCCACCCACAAATATGGTGGGTGAGGCTGGAGAGAACACCCAGTACCAGACAGTTATAATGTCTAACCCAATCAAGCCAATGTTTATGAAATTGAGGTTGGGTCCATCTAGTAGATTCAACATAACAATTTACCAGCATTGGCATAACTACAGTCTTCTACATGTGGGAACAGCTGCCCAATATCCACCTATCAATCTATGTCTATTTTGAACTCCTATCAGGTAGGAGGAAATAGTTGCGCAACCAGACAAAAAGACAATAGCCGAGAAGTCAAAACACAAAAAGTCAAAATGGATAATAGTCTTACAGATGAGACCAAAGTCCAAATACAATGAGTGAAAAGCACAAAAAGTAAAATATCAAAAAATCAAAATGATACAATTTAAATGCTAAAGGCTATATATCTAGCAAGTAAAAAGGCATGCAAGTCAGCAGATAAAAGTCAAACAGCAAAAAGTGAAGAGACCACTAGGCCAAGTGACAAAAAGTTAAACAATAAAAAGGCAAAAGTTAAAGTTCATATAATGTCACAGTGGCAAAAGTCAAAAGGAATAAAGACCAAGTCAATAATAGACAAAAGGGCAACTTGATGTCCTTGTATCTTCAATAGTATGTAAAGGGGAAAAGAGTAAGATCAAAGGCACAAAGGAATGTGAGCCAAAATGATGTTCCTGGGAGCCCTGAAGCAATGAAATCTAAAGAACCCCTCATCCATTGAGGGAGGGGGGGGCACTTTTGGGTCAAATCTGGGGTGCTAAGTAGCCTCTACAGAAGGCCCATGTATCTCATGTAGGCCAGCAGGAGTTCTTTTGTTATTGGTGTAATCAGGGTCAGCATAGCACAGAGGGAGCAGGAGCACAGCTGTCCCCATATCATTGGGCAAGTAGATCCAAATTTGTGTTCATAGGGTGCTTTCCTGTCAAAGTAAAAAACTGCATAGTCTCTGCTTTAGACCCAAAAACTTAATTCATGTTAGGAGACCCTTTTAAGACACCCAGTGTTTCATTGGGGCTTTATGATGCACTCAGCTGCTGAGGCTACATGCTGTTGCCTGCCCCTCATCCTGGCAGGAAGGGCGGGGACCACGGGGAATCAAACCCTGTACCTCTGGTTTCCCAGACACGTTTTAGGACACCCCATGGCATATAATGTGACCCTTCTTCTATTTACGTCAGCCTGAATATAGGTCAATTCTGAAACAGGAGACCCATTTATGCATCAAGAAGTTGCTGCCACACAGTTGGTAAAATTAGAGGGGTAAAGTGCAGTTCTGAGTAGTTAGAACAGACAATGGTGATGAAGTTATTGTTAGATTCACTTATATTTCACCCACCAAATCTATGGAGGCCTATTAGATAGCTTTACCCATGAGGCTCCCCATTTTGACCCAAAAGCTCAACACCACCCAAAAAGTTCTTCCCCACCTCAAAGCTGTGGCACTGATTATATGAAAATGCTTTTATGGCTATGGACTCCTATGGCTGAACAAATCAAAAGCACACAAGCTAGAAATCACATCACAAAAACATCATTGTGAGCTAAGACACCTACCCTCATGTGAGAGGGCCCTTTTTCAATCCAAGGATGGAACACTAAGCTCCTTTCATGGGCACTGATCCAATAAATGGCTCATTCCAACTGGCTGTGTGGGTAGGCTTCATGATTATTCCTCTTAACCTTCCCCAGTGATGGCCTGTGAGGGGCTCTTGGTGAGTTTTGAGGGACCCAGCCTGAACTTTTTCGCGCACTCCCAGAGCAGATAATGACTTATTCCAACAGGCTGAATAAGACAGGCTTCATACCCCTTTCTCCCAGGCGAACAGCTGACCAGGTCACCAGAGGCCCCTGGTGGGTTTTGAAACCCCTTGATTGTCAGTTGTTATATTTACTGTTCAGCCGTTGCCCATTTTCAATTTTATCCCTTACTTTTTACTTCTTACTTATCCTCATAGGCCATCGCGACATCTGCACCTCGCACTGCAAGAGCACATTGTATATCAGCTGATGCTTTATGATAAAATACACCATAAATAAAAATAAAACGGGAAAATCTTGGGCATACCTCATCATCTTACCTTCAAAACTGTTAATTACAATAGCTAAGGCATACGCCGGCTCGTTTCACGGATTGTAACGCCGATGGCACGATACTAACGCATCAAGGCAGGGGAGTCCAAAGCTAGTATGAAATATGGCAGCAACGACGCGCATTTTACGGCTAGCGATAGGGTCCCCTCTTAAAATGTCCTTTTTCAGGTCCACGGCTCTCTAAATCTTGAACAGATATATGCACAAAATGCATAGAAATGAAGTTTGAACAATTTGCTTGCAATTTCTGTGATGAAAAGTTGCGTCCTGGCACTCCTTTTTGAGCTATTAGGCAAAGCGTAGACCCATGCAAGCATGTAGACCCATGTCCGCGCGCATGTAGCCCCATGTCCAGGCGTCGTATCGAATCCCGTTGCCGCCAGCTCTTTTCAGCACTGGTGAGGTGGAACACAGAGTGAATACGGTCACAGACTGGCGATATAGATGTTGAGTTCAGCGATCTTTTGATTGACATGTATATATATATATATATATATATATATATATATATATATATATATGTGTGTGTGTGTGTGTGTGTGTGTGTGTGTGTGTGCGTGTGTGTGTGTGTGGTGTGTGTGTGTGTGTGTGTGTGTGTGTGTGTGTGTGTGTGTGTGTGTGTGTGTGTGTGTGTGTGTGTGTGTGTGTGTGTGTGTGTGTGTGTGTGCTTGTGTGTGTATGTGTGTGTGTGTGTCATGTGTAGTCTGGAGATGCAACTGCTGTGTCGTGAAACGTCTTGCGAGTTATTACAAGGAACACACATGTTATCTTTTTATATCTATAAAATACACTTGACAGGTATTATGCAGCCACCGGGCTACAGGCCACAACCTGTGGCAGAGGTGCATAGCTTCTATTGTGTCTGACGCATGGAACCTGTCGCGATGATAGTCGTCTAAAGCTGACCGTCCCCAACTGGGCCAGAGGTAGGACCAGACACAGCGCTCGGTGCTAAGGTTGTGATGCTGGTGGCCACTGCTGTGCAGGGCCGGCAGTGCTGACCCAGGACTACCACCACAGCGATGGCACGGTGACATTGCAAGCACCTCTGATTTGAAGTAGTTGTGCTTGAAAGCAGAACGGTTAACATTATAAAGATAAGTGCCATGACGGCAGACTGGTACTGCACGGTTGCCCTGAAATGAAAATACTTGACAAACGTCTCTGAAAGATCCTGAAAAGCTTAAACACTTGACACACATATGGCCGGTGTAACTACGCTCTCTAAAGGCACTTGCAGGAAGGTTTTTCGGCATAAGGAGAATGCAAACGTTTTATCACAGTTATACACTGAATAACTGAATCCGAAAAGCTAGCATTCACGTTAGTAGTGCTGCACAAAAGATACTTGGTAATGAAATATAATGACACAATTTTTATTGTTCCTCACCAAGCCTTGTAATTTATAACTTAACACGCGCTCGGGTGGGAGGTCAAATTGCCCCCCCCCCCCCCCCAGGCTTTCCCGGAACGGTTTCTGAGCGCCGCGGCGCAGCCGCGCCAAATTTGCATAGCTGTAGACAGTTGAATAGCGGATCGTCTGCCATACAAAATCTTAATATACTTTTTAAGGTCGCTGACCTATGGCAGGTCAAAGTTAGACCATGGTTTAAGCGAAGGCACGTTCTAGGGAATCGTTCAATCCGATCAAATAACGGAGTGTTAGACGAAGCCTGACATATTTGAGATACTTTCTTAGGCAACACAACAATTGAAGTAACAAATAGCATGAACCTAGGGTCAGGCTATGAAGGTTAGACCAAGGTCAAAACCAACCTGTTTTATTACTCTCGGGCTTGCCGTATGGGCTGGTTTTTGATGCTCACTTCGAGCACACTGATACCAGAAACCGCATTATACACCTTCCATGGACTTCTTATGGGTCGGAATAGGTCGCTGACCTAAAATGACCCAGTTCAGCATTTTATTTTAAGGAACACACTCCCTAGCGTAATCTTTGTCGCTTATCCAAATGCAAGACTCAAAACAGTCTTATATCATTTTGGTCATCATCACTTTGAACGTGACCAGGTCAAACCAGGTCACTGACCTTAACTGAGTGTGTGAAATTTTGCTTAGAACAGTTGCCTAGGTTCTAGGGGCCCTTTGGAGATCAATCTGAAATTTGATCTTGTTTGAGCCTATTTGACTCGAAGGTCATGCCTTAGGAATCTCAGACTTTGACCTAAGAGAGCTCACGTACAGGTCAACACACTCTGGGTGTCTCTAGCTTTCTTAGTTCCTGAGATCTCAGGGGGTCAAACTGACTCCCCCCCCCCCACACACCCGAGCGATGGGTAGCCAACCGGCCACCCGGGCGCGTGTTAAACCTTCATCCACTGATCCCAGAGAAGGAAAGGCTCACCAAAGCAGCTGGAGTGGAGTGGGCCGATAAGATAGATTTTCAGGGCACATCATTGTCGGAAATATCCAGCATTGACTCAAGGCAATAAGAGCGCCGAATGAAACTTAGATTTTTTGAAACCATACCCAGCTATGCACATTCTTATCAAAACGCAACATGAGTTGTTGATAAAATATTTCTGTACCATCTTTCACTTAACGTTTACCGCAATTGTCACGAAGAAATTGCGCTGATATTGATCATGCAATGGTGTTGTGCATAGGCACAATGCTGAGGATTGGGTTACAGCACATCATTCAGAATATTGTAACATGTCACCCAAACAGTCAACTTCTACAAATGTCACAATGCTGAAATCCTGCCTTGGATAAGCGAAGAGGCACATGTGCTAACCTGCAATGGCTGCATCGGGTGGCCTACAAATTTTGATGTAAAAATAAGATCACCGCGCAGACGGCAACACGCTTCAGTCAAACAATCTGGACCAATCTGCGGAGCGCCGGCAAGGTCACGGAGACCATTCAGTTTTGGCATGCGGACTAGAATGTGACCAGGCACATGTCTCTCAATGTGACGAGGCAAACGTCTGTGAGTGTGGAAAGCGTATGTCCGCACGAAGGCAGCACAGATCTAACAACCTGTGAAAGACAACCCCAAACAGCAAAGCATAGCCAGACAAGTTTTGATAATTTTGCAAGCCGTCGGTTTGGGTGGGCTGTAGAGAGAAGATGGTGCTTCTGTAATCGTTCAAATGGATTTCGGCATGGCATGACAAACAGCTGTGGCTACAGGAGCGGAATGCGCCAATATTTGTGTTCAAAAATAAAACGCGTCGCTTGAGGTCGTGCAAATTTTGCAGCACAAATAGTCGCTTGCAGCAGTATCCTGGTTGTTCATTCGTCATGTAACAGGATGTGACTTAACTTAGTGTCTCTTCCTGCGAAAACACGTCCTTGAATGGCCCACTCAAGCAGCTTTGCAAGCAGCACCTGTGGCGTTAACGTGACCCAAGCCACCCACATATGAAAGCCGGGATTTTGCACCCTGACAATATACACCGTCGGGACAGTCATCGCTTGCCGGACAGAACCCCCTCAGATCTACACTTGTTGTAAAAGGTGGATGCGCAATGCTTAAAATTGGTTGCGTGGTACTGTTACCACATTACGTCCAACGCGGTGGAGCAGTCCCCTCCCCTCCCCCCTGCTGGGACGTAGGTTAGGACCGGCAATACAGAACGGTGCACGGATGGGTGCCGCGCCCAGATATGTTCTGCTGGTATGAACGGCCTGGGCGGCATTGCTTGCTACGGCAGCATTATGTTTTGGTAGTGTCTACATGGTGACGGCAATCACCTACGTTATCGCTTCGTCCGTCCCACACCATAACAGGCGTCATGCTGGTCAATAGTGATAACCTTACAATCGGCCAAACAATTTTTACCCCGATGCCATTTTCAACGTGAATCCCGGCAATGATCCGTGGTGTTGCTCTTTGACCTTAGGTAGGTCCTAGAACACTTATTTAGATGCAGTCCGATAAAAAAACGGCCGTACGCACTTTTCTCAAAATTTCATATATGCTAGTGAAGCTAGCAGTTTTTTGACCCTGTGTTCTCAGCCCCTTAAGGTGACCTGACCTGGGGATCACTCGCTCGCTCCTAGGTATCAAACCTAGCATCGATGGATCTCGCCAATATTAAGTCACTCAACAATGCCCGTTCCGTGCCTCGAGCTCAAAGTGAGGCTAAATGGTAGGGGACGCCTCTTATTCTGTTGGCAACCACGCGAGTGGAAATGGCTCCCGCTAAACCAACGTTCGCGTGAAGGCCCGATCGTTTGCGTGCGTGCCGTTCAGCTGATCTGTGCTCTGCTGACGCCCCGCTTCACCGCAAACGGCACAGCCGTCTCGAGTCTGCGGGAAGTTCTGACATATGTGCGGTACGTCGCCGGCTTTCCTTAAGAGTTGAGTGCCCTCAGCGAAACGTCCGGCGCCGGGCGTGCAGGAAAACGGCGGCAGCGTCCGGTTGTGATCCTCGTGGAGTGACAGGGCGAAATGAGGAGCCCATCTAGTTCTCCCTTCACTGAACGCTTGGGGCCCATCTGGTTCTCCCTTCACTGAACGCTTGGAGCCCGTCTGGTTCTTCCTTCACTGAACGTTTGACACAACAGATGACAGTGCATGCCATGCCTTCCAGGTAGTTCTATGAAAGGCAATGCATGTCAAAGGCAATGCAAGTTGTAATCACATGTGACCTGGACCGTATGGGTCTCTGCACACCTATGAACCACGTTTGCAATCAGGTGATGTCTGTGTTTTTGCATACAAGGAATATAGGGTAAGTTCATGTTTAACCCGCCACCGGCTGGGGAAAGTTCATTTCCTTCTACGGGTTTTTGAGCACAGCTTTAAGACGAGCGCTTGCAGCAACGCCAAAGTTGCGGTACCTGTTTATCTATCAATTTAGTATCCGTGGTAAAAATATGTAGCTTTGATCTGCCAAGGCTAGTGATTTGAGTCAGGTCAAAGAGGTCAACCTCTAAATACCTTTGACCACGCATGACTTGTGAGCTTTTTGCCAATTCTCATACCTGTTGTAACTATAGAGCATGATAGTACCTAGTATCTATTCCAGATTTTTAGAAACAGACAATGTCAGCGACCTGAGCTCAGGTCGATTTTTGCTGTTTTTTGTAAATAACTCAAATTTGTATGCATTTCTGTGTAGTTTCGCCCTTTGCATATGATATGTAGGGGGCGGATTCACATGCACAACCATCATATGACCTAAGAGCACATGGCTTTGGCCCAGGTCATCGCCTGCCACTATGGATACCTTCTGTAAACCACATCCTGAGCTCAAAATAGGCCGTTGTATTAGATAATGTGGGGCGCATAATCTAAATAATCCACCGAAAACATGTTTTCCTATCACTCTCATGCAAATAAGGTCACGAGAGGTTACGTGAAGGCATTCTAGGCCATATTAGGTCATCTTAAGTCAATGACCTCTGTTGTTTGTACCGGAGTAGGCCAGTAGGCCAGAGGCCAGATGAACGAGTGCGACGCGTGTGACCACCTGATTATTGTGTTTGTGAAGCTGATGACACAATTTCATGCACCAACGTGCTTGCTCTCAGTTCTGCCAAGCTTCAAAGGACAGATAACCTATCGATGATGTGTACAACAGCTATGCGATTTTGAGAGCCTACAGATGTACGACACACTATTTCTGAACACAGAAAACATTGTACCGGTCACTTAGACCCGGCTCGTTGTACCGGTCACTTAGACCCGGTTAGCACTTCAAATGCTTTCAGCTGCATGGTTTATAAAATTGACTCCAATTTACCTCGAGGTGAGCCTAAAACGAATATTTTTTTGCGCCTGGAATACTTTGCCAAACAGCTGCATCTAATAAAATGAACTTATGCATAAGCCTATTCTTAAAAAGTACCGCTATTGTAGGCTACTGGTGGTCTAATCTTGAACGTAATCTAACCTGAGCTGACCCCTGTGGGGAACAGAAATGTTCAGAATGGACTTCCCAGAGTCTTAACGCTTAATTATGTGCATTCAATACCCGCATTGACGTGCTGACCTATATTCTGACTGCATCTATCAGAACGACCCTGCTTTACCTTTTTGACCCCAAGATAGGTAAAATTTTAAAAGGCAAAATTCATTGGTTACTCCAGCCACCACTAAGGCAGTTAAGGATGTAGTTCCACCCACCCAGTGCTTAGACCAACCAGTTATCCAGCCGAATGGATGACGGGCTCACCAAGAAGCCATTGTTATGGTGATAAGCCTGGCTGATCCCGTCAATGAGACTCGTCAAGAAGCGTTACAAGGCTTGCTCGGTGCCGAGATAATGAGTGAGGATGAGCCGCCATACCAGTTGCCCGGCGTCAACCTTGACGCCACCATCCGCACCGATGTTATCGAGCTGTCGAAAGAGTTTGAAACAGAGCCGCCCCTGACTGCGTTCCTCGGCGCCGCAAAGCTCCATCCCGATGCGAGGGTGTCACGGACAGGGGCCAGGCCGCAGAGCAGCGCAGCTCATCACACAGCCGGCATCTGCGGTGGTGGCATCGGACGTATGCCATGGATGCATATGCGCAATAATGCGGCAACGACGTAACGTAGGCGTCTTAGCGTCATTAGCGAGTTAAGGCGGGTTTGCGCTTTCCATTGATATGTTGCCGTTTTGACGCATGCTTAACTATCATCGTTCACGCTTAAGCGTGTTACGATGTCTTAACGGTGTGGTAAACCTACAGATAACTGTTAGGAAAAACATCATTTATTATCGATATTTTTCTTATATCTTGACAGCTAACGTTTTCAGGATAACTTTTGGACGTTTTGGCGCGATGCTGAGATTTTAAGTAGCCGAGTTTAATCAACTTTACACACGCCCTCAGAATTGAAGGTTTAGACCCTGGCATGTGTTCCAATGCGACGATTGACATTATTTATCGCAGGAAATGCACTCCGAGGACGTTTTCAGTACCTCGTGTTGTCTATTTCGCTCTAACGCACATCAATATCGTGGTCTCTACAAGGTCAGATCTTTTGCTACTCAGACCGCAGAACAGTGCTAGTGGTGGTGGCGGCTGATAGCTATTAAGTAATGCATCATTCAGACAGCATGACCAAACGCCGTTTACGCACACCAAACGCATGCTGGCTATTGCTGGTGACTTTTACAAGGTCAGATCACCTAAAGTCAAGCTGGGTCAAACGTTGACCTTTGTGATCAGACTCGATCTATTGAAGGTTGTATGATTTCTATTTAAAGGGATTGTTCGACATTTATATGGGGTTTTGAACTGAAAATATTCGCCTTGAAGACGTTTCGGTGCTGATCTCAATCCTGCCCTCCTTACAACTCTCTACTCTCTACTCCTTACGGCTACTCCTCTAGTTTTGAGCTACACGCCCGCGAAAATGGGGAAGTGTTTCAAAGTGACATTGGCATTCATGCTTTCATGATAACGTCATTCAAACCCTACTATTTCATAAGCCATGCGGCGATCAAGGCAAGGAAGCTATAACTGTTGAGGCGTTCACATCTGACGCGCGTGAACGTGATTTCCAGACATAACGGCCGTCAATTAGCTCTCACTCAATATTGTGCAAGGTATGATGACGTGATTAAACTATGACGCATTGAGGAGCATATTTACTTCGCAGAGAATTGTGCTGTCTAGAACAGTCTTTTCCACTTAACAAGCACACCTGTGGTTACAAGTGAACTCGTTTCATCACATCTGATGCTTTCTTCAATATCTTCAAATATGAGCCATTCTCTTTAAGCGTACGAATGCTATCAATGTTCGTTTTGGTAGCTTCGCTAACCATTCACGTTCGGATGTCTGTGTAGCATATCAAACGAACGTTTATGTACGTGCATACTCCCGTCAACGACCCCCTACCTGCAGACCATCTGTGCGGTGCAGGTCGCAGCACTTTTTTCATCTCTATTTTTTGTGTTTCTGTAACTGTTCATGTGTCCGGAGGACAACTTCGTGGCGTTAACGCTAACGTTAGCGTAGGCGCGTTAACCACTGCTCTATCGGCACCCAACGCGTAAGCTCAAACCTTTTTATGTCATTTGCTTTGCAGGCAAACGTGGGATGGTCTTTTGCGTTTTCGAACTCATTTCAACCCACTCCATTCAACACGAATGAGATCCATCACTTATTTCCGGGAAATTGGGCCCCTTCAAGTAGAGCGCTACGGGGTACAGGTGGTCAACTAATTAGCACATATACCCCAGCTCGTCTTAACTGTCCCCTGCTGGAATTGAGTTGGAGGGCTCACCGCTCGGTATTGAGGGTCAGCATCGGCACAGGCACATATTTCTTACGTCACTGGCACAGAACCCGTTCATGGCTTCAACGTGAGCACTCATCATAAACTCACTTGTTTCTTTTCACTGTCAGGGGCCCCGACCAACGCAAGGGGCCACCTGTCACTCGGGTTCCCTTCTCTGTTCCTATTGAACAGATCTCCCCCCGACAGATTCGAGGCCCCTTGTTGATTCAGAATACCCTGTTAGGCCCTGATGGGCCCTTGAACGATACAGGAGCCCCAACAAATGTAAATCGCGGGCTCGGCCTTGTCCTTGTGCAGGAAATAGGTCCGCGGAGCTCAGACCAACACGGAGCCGACTATTCGTTGTTGGTGATCCTTGGCCGACATAGAGGAATACTCTGTCTCAAGGATCCCTACCGATGCAAAAGGTCCTCTTACTGACATCTGAGATCTCGGGCCCATGGGTGGGGTCCCTAATGTGACCTGCGGCCAACCCCTCGGACCCCACAGCCTTGCAGTCGCGCCCTTGGTCTTTGGTCTCGAGAGATCTTTCGGCCCCTCTTCAGGCACCTGAAATACTGCTCCGATTCGGAGCCACTGGCCACCACGGGACCACTGTTAGGCGCTGTGGCCCCTGACCGACACAGGAGCCCCTCACTGTGTCAGGGACTTGCTTGGGAAATGTTTCCCAAGGGGTCAGACGGACATCGAGCCGACTGTTCGGTGTTCGTGGCCTCTGGCCGACTTAGACACCTGCATCGTCTCAGATGTTCCTCAAACGGTGTAAGGGGACCCCTGACTGATATTTCAGGTCACGATCGTACCGGCTGCTATTCTTTATGTGGCCCACAACCAGTCCTTCGCGCCCTTATGCCCTCTAACCGGGCCTTTGATCGTCGGTTCCGGTGGGCCGCCCGGTCCCCTCTTCGGGGCTCATCGAACATTTCACTTGGTCGGCTTGGGACCCTTGCAAGCACGCCGTGGGTCCCTGGCAGATACAAGGCCCCGACCAGTGTAAGTCACTGGCCCCGGTTTTATCGCTGATTGGCAAGTGGGCTCTGAGGCCCATACCGACACGGAGCGGAATGCGCCTTACTGCTGGTGCCTGACCAACATGTAGGCCCATATTGACTCAGGGAGTCCCCGATCGGCACAAAGGGTCCTCTGACAGTTCTTTGGGCGCCCGGCCCCGCGAGTCAGGCCAATGAATAAAACTCCGATCGGCCCCAGCCCGTCGTGCCCTTAGAGCCTCCCAACGGACCTTTGATCGTTGGACCCGGCGGGCCCTCCAGGCTCTTTGGGCCTCCTCGAACACTACCTCTGGGCGACTCAGGACCCCTTGCCAACACAAGGCCCCTGTTAGTGGTTGTGGGGCCCTGACAGACTCTGGGTCCCCGACCTATGAAACCACTGATGCCGTCTTTGTTCCTGCCTTGGAAATGGGCCTCCAGGCCCGTGACGCCACGGAGGTGACTGCGTTACTGGTGGTGTCTGACCGACATATAGGCTTTTACTGATTTAGGGGGCCCCTTATCAGCGCACAGGGCCCTCTGGCTGCTATCAGAGAGCCCGGCTTTACGGCCGGGACCCTGAATGCGACCCCCGCACGGCCTTTCAGGTCCTTCGGGCGCTCAAATCGGTCTCTTTTCGAACCCCCTCAGAACCGAGGGGCCCGAGAAAGAGGGACACGAGCTCCCTATGCCTACACTGCCTGCGGTGTTGCCCGAAGGGCTGGCCGGGGACGACCACGGGGCGAAGACCTGACCCTCAGAGGCCAGCCGAAGGGGCTCGTCGCGGGGGTTGTGGGGGCCCCCTCCCCTCCCCCTGCCGGGGTTCCCGGGACTGCAAAGGCGTCTATGTAAATCCGTGACCACCAATGCTGATCAGTTGGTTCTGGGTCAGCATGCACCCTGAGGTTCCATTTACGAACCGTGGACAAGGCCACTCTTCGTAATTGTAACTGAAGTCCTTCTGTGTTGGCCTGAGCCCCTGACTCAAGGTGACTTCCTGTATCAAGGGACCGAGTGCTTTACAGGGGAGTCTGCGTCAGAAAAGGGCTCCTAGTCGACCAGAGGCACATTTTGCTGAAGAGGAACAGGACGGGGCCCTGAATGCCAGGGAGCCACTTGCATAGGTCCTGCTTGACATGTAATGGACGTGCGAGAAATTTCGATGAAATGTTCCACAATGAGACAATAGAAGGGTCTGGTCAATCAGGGATCGAACAGGTGCTCTTCAGGGCTCCTGAATTTAATCCATGTTGGTGACTGTTCACGCTCCTCGACCCGTAATCGAAGGCTTAGTCCTGATGTCCGGTCGGTTTACTTTGCCAGATTTTAACTGGTGTCAATGGTGATGACGGCCTTCTGGTGATAACTCGCCGTTTCGGGTTGCTACTTTAATCAGTGACCAGGGTGTCTAGTTCGGTGATCGAGTTGGCCATTCCGGTTGTCCAATTTTGTCCCCCTCAGAAAGGCATCTCAAAATGAAAGGCGCAATGAAGTTTTCATGCACGTGGCTAGTTCCCCATGGCGCCTGCGTTGCTAGTCTCTGACATGCTTGATGAACCCTTGTTCAGGTGCATGGCATGCGCCGACCATTTGTATTGCCGCTATTTCTAAATTGTGACCTTACATGATTATTGACCACACGGAGAATGGAAGCTTGTGAGAATGGACAGTTTGCGTCATATATTTCAGAAATTTTGACCTCGACCTACGTCACTTTACCGCAACACATGAAATATCACGTGATCAGGTTTCCTGTAAATATCACGGATGCAGCCGAACATATAATTATATGTGATCGCTACTAAATGGGCGAAGAGCCGTACTCGCCCACGTCTGCACGTGCGTAGATCCTGCTAAAGGCCTCACATCGACTCTTGTGCTGGCTTGTGAGAGCTGTTACGAGGTCCGAACTTGTTTCCGACCGTGTCGTTCAGCGTAATCGCTGCTCAAAAACTTAACATGCCCCATTGTATTCAAACTAGAGGTGAAACAACAGAGAATGTTCGTTTCAAAGCCTGCGATATGAGAGTCGCGCGCTAGAAGAACATTTTTTATACGCACAAGTGCCGGGCCCCACCGCGCCGGCCGCCGGGTGCAGGTCATCAGCCGCGCGTGCGTGCACCCGCGGCCGTTGCCCGTCCGACCGCTGCCAGCTGGGCGGTGATGACCGCTCACAGAGGCGCACGCGGCGCGGCGCGCGGCCGCTTCCCGCTGACCTTGGAGACCAGGGGCAGGTCGGGCCCTGCCCGCCCGGCTCTCCGGCCGGCTATCTGGCCATCGATGCCGAGGAAAAGAGCGGGGGGAGGCCCGGCCGGGCCCGCTCGTGTCGGCAGCCAGGCAGCTGCTCGTCGACGCGCCGGAAACGTGGATGCATTTATGGACGAGGACTGTCGCGAATGGCTGCTGGCCTAGACGAAGTATGCACCCGTTTACAAGGGAGCGTTTTTTGGTAGTTTGGAACTAATCTCAGAAAGTTTGGCAGAAAAACAGCGAGCATACCCGTCATGCAGCTTAACGGACAAATTTGAGACATTAGACTGGTCGGTTTCTTAATATGAAGCGTGACGTAGTACAACATTACTGCACGTCTTTGGCACAACCTGTCTACCATTTGGCTTCTTTTAATAACTGCTGATTCGGAGTCATTGCTGGCATCACAATAAATCAATGCGTATATGCCGGACACCGCCACGAGCCAAAAGTTGGGTGCATCCCATTTCGCAGCGTTTCTTTGCATGCAAAGCCAAACGGTGCAACGCTACGACATAACGTGCAAGGCTGGCATACTCAAATGGCTAAGCCTGCCTCCAAAATTTAGATTCGCATTCGGATTTAGCCCACTTTTCTCTCAGAGCTTCAGGGGGCTGGAGGCCTGTCAGCCGAAAATGAAACCACGCCTCCGACGCCGCATGTTACATTAAAAAAGTACTCGTAAAAATCACGCGTTCTACTTATTATCATTGTTCATGCCTAAAACTATCGCCATTGCCTTCAAATGACAACAAGTTCATTACATCCCAATCTGGTACCTTTTTAACACGCGCTAGGGTGGGGCCAAATTAACCCCCCCCCCCCCCGAGGGTTCTCCGGAATACTTTCCGAAAGGTACGACGTAGCCACGCCACGTTTTTCGTAACTGCAGGCAATTTATAGCGGATCGTCTGACATAAAAAATGTAGATGTACTTTGTAAGGTCGCTGACCCATGGCAGGCCAAAGTCAGGCCATGGTTTCAGCGAAGTCTGTTTCCAGGGAACCATCCAAGCTCATCCAATAACGGAGTGTTAGACGAAGCCATACATCTCTGAGATACTTTCTTAGGCAACACAACCATTTAACGAACAAATAACATTGATCTAGGTTCAGGTATGGAAGTCAGACCAAGGTCAAAATCAACCTGTTTTTTTTTTACTCCAGGACCTCCTTTAAGAGGTAGTTTCTGGTGTTCATTTCGAATTTATTGATGGCAGAAACCACATTATGCACCTTCCATAGACGTTTTAAAAGTCAGAATAGTCACTAACCTAGAATGACGCAGGTCAACATTTTGTTTTTAGGAACATGCTGATTAGCGTAATATCTGTCGCTTATCCAAATACAAAAATCAAAGTGGTCTTGTGTGATTTTGGTCACCATGACCTTCAAAAGGTCAAACGAGGTCACTGACTTAAGACCAGCGTGTGATTTTTTGCTGAGAACAGTTATCTAGGTTCCAGGGCCCCTTTGAAGACCAACCTGAAATGTGACTTTGTTTGACCTTACTTGACCCAAAGGTCACGACCCAGGAACCTCAAACTTTGACCTAAGTGAGCTCACGTACAGATAAGCACACCCTGTGAACTTCGTATTTCTAGCTCTCTTAGTTCCTGAGATCTCAGGGGCGTCAAATTGACCCCCACCCGAGCGAAGGGTATCCAACCGGCTACCCGGGTGCGTGTTAATAGAAGGTTCGTAGAAACCATGGGAAAACAGATAAACATTTAAATCCCCTCAATCATCCAGAAATCTGCCCCCTTGCAGAAATGTCTGCAGTTGTTTAGGATGTTGCAGTCACCAATGGTATGCCGTGGACACCGCTGACGTCAAACAACAGCTGTAATATTGCTGCAGTAACTGGGCAGAGAAGTGAGCGTTTTTCCTACATGATATGTAGCTTCGGAATGTTCAGTGCTGGCCGTGTTCAAGAGATATCAATGCCAGTTCAGGTCTCAGAGAAATCTTTAATGACGGGACCGGCGCATAAAAGAAAATTGACTGTGAAGAGTCTCTTGTACGGTTGACGAGACCTGGGTTCCAGGAAGTTAAACTACACACGTTTTTGTGAGAAATGGGCACTAATGTGCCGAAAATCTGTCAATCTTTCTGTTCAAGAAACGTGTGGGAACACATGACGCTACGCTACTTTGAGGCACGGAATTATACGCCAGCCTCCTTAAAAACGACGTACACGTCAGCGGAACTGACACCGTCAGATAATGCCTATACGCCGCGTCCGCCATACTGGCAACCAACATCTGTGCTCCACGTTATTCTCTTTCACATGTTTTTTATCTACTCTCCTTCTTTGATGCCACTTGCTTCTCCAAACGGCCAAAGCTCTCCTTCAGTACAGCTCGCGCCATCTTCTAGATAGCAATTTACGACTTTCTACAGCTGTCGTAATTATCCAGAATGCGAAGGAAAGTTACGGATCGAATAATTGTCAAGGATATCGTAATCGCCTTGCGCTTTAGTGTGCGCACACCAACTTCATAAACTTCAGTATGCGCACATAAACAGCTTGGGGGCATTGTAGGCCAGTGCCCCGGTGGGGGTTGTCTTAGCGAGCCGACCCGGGCTGGGATTCTGGAGCAGCCATGTTATTCACTGACCACAGACCATCGAGTACGCCACAGCACACGATCTTGGCGGAGTGTTACCCCGGAAATTCGCTCCTCTCTTTAACCCGATTCATTTGCCATCCGGAAGTGGCTGGTTGGGCCGTAACAGGGGGCGCACTTGGGACACTTATGACATAAAGCAACAGGATGCATCCAACATGACCAATCTTGGCTCGAAACGAGGTGCCTGGATAGCGATCTTGCACTCATGACTCTTCCTGGAAGAGCGGGGGCGGAAGACAGTGGACGAACAGCACTCGCGCGTACTACATCTCCCGGCGCTTCCTGCACCTCTCAAGGTAAGGCGCATGCCTCCTGCCCCGCGTTAGACTGGACGCAGTGGCGGTCACCGGCACTGGCCGCCGACTCCCCACAACGCACCTGCTAGCGCACACTCCCAGCTGATCTGCCTGGCTCCTAGAGTCTCCCACTCGGCAATCGACGACTCTGCCTTCTCTCCCCCGACTTTGCACCCCCGCGTGCCACCCTGACGCCGCCCATGCGCGTCGCGACCTTGCCCGTCAGCTGACTGGGCGTGACGTCACGTGCGGCGATCAATGCCGCCGCGGCCGGCCAGGTGCGGCGCGCGCGCGCCAGACGTTGCCGAGGCCCGGCACCGCCAGCGCGTGTCCTGCCCCGCCGCCATGGCCGGTTCCGGCGCCGCCCGCGCGCTGCTGCTGTGCTCGCTGCTGACCGCCGCGCGACCCCAGGCGCACCAGATTCGCTCCGACTGGGGTCTGCAGGACAACGGCTACGTGCTGGCGTTTGTGAACGTGACCTACCGCGAGCCGGGGGCCCACGAGCTGAGCTACAGGGGCGGCGAGATCGGCAAGTACTCGACGGGCCTCGTGACGAGCGTGACGGGCCGCCTCGTGCACGCCCGCTCGCGCAACGGCACCGCCCACCACGGCTGCGACGCCGTCTGGGAGAACGTGCTGCCGAGCGAGCCGTGGGTGGCTCTGGTGCGCCGCGGACTCTGCAACTTCGACGTCAAGGTGGAGAACGCGTACCGCAACAACGCGTCGGCGGTGGTCATCTACGACTACAAGGAGGGTCGTAACCCACACCGCATCCACCTGACCAGTCGGCACCGTGAGTAGACGCCGCCGCGTAGCACGGGGCGGGCGTGGGTCTGACGGGGGACTTCGACCCACTGATATTCTCGCGCGTCGCCGGGGTTTGACTTTGGTCTGTGCTTTGGCAAAGCGCGCAGGCCGGCATGCTTTGCATGCGATCGTCTCGAATATTCTCATCGAATTACTTCTTGCTGAGTTCTCACGTGCTTTTTGTCATCCCGCTTCATTTATCATGCATTAGTTATGCAATATGCAACATATTCAAAGGTTATTTGAAGCCAAGGGTTCCCTACTTGATCTCGATTCGGCATTGGCCAGGACTGACAGTGGAGTGACTCACGTGGCAATATGAAGGGTGAGAACGTGCTATTTGTACAGGGCAATGAAATGCTCAGTTCGTCTGCACGTGCCCGGAAGCGTGTACGGCAGACAAATAATATTCTGTCATTTTAGTGCCAATGCGGATGACATGTTTTTCTAGTGAGATGCTCAATGAACGCTCGATATGTGCTTGTGCCTGGCATGGACGCGAAACAAGATGTCCAGTTAGCTATGCTCCCCTTAGACCCCGCTCGCGGAAGTTGACAGCCAAGCACGGGGAGAGTTGACCTTAAAAGGGGCTGTGCCTCTCTGTTTCAGACGTTGGTACACCCCTGACAAACACCGCAGCTCTGATGATAGCAATTGGGGGCTTTTTTCGCCGGCGCTTTACCAGACTTTCCTTAGCTACGATCACGAGGATCCGCTTTGAGTGCCTGCAGTTTTGTCCCATGGCATCAGCGAATGTTACTCGCCAGTGCATGATCCCACCTTCGTTCCGCCTGAACACACAAAAACACAATGTTACAACATACAAGCCAATAATTGTTCTGGAGACATGGTACCCTAATATATTCGGGTCGTGAACAAGACCGTGAACTGTTTTATGCTGTGTTAGGTGTTAGGTAGTATACGTTGACATTTACATAGTCTTCGTTGATAACACGCTTAAGGTAGCAGGGATCGGACATGGGGCGGGGAGCACGAAATGAGAACAGCACTTTGTCCGAAAATAAACCGAGGCGTTAACCGAGCTGAAAGGCCATCCATTGGTTCTGATGACAGCTGCGCATGACCTTTATATGCTGGGAGACTGAGACATGGATCACTGGAGTGCGATGGAGTGGGCCACATTTTTAGCTCCATTACCGGAGCTGAACCAGCGCCATTATTCCCAGCCACAGAGAGCCATTGACGTGTTGATCCGCCGCAGAAGGTCAGCTGTTTTGGTAGTCAAATAAGCCTTGGGACTTTACAGTGACTGATTTCTGCTTTACGGCGACGGACCTGAGGTGGATTCTGTCAAGCTGAAGTGCAAATAAAGATTGAGAATGTCTCAAAGCTATCAAGCTCCATATTGCACGTTTCAGATTTTGTGCATAGTCCTGGCTGTCCTCTGGGATCACCTAGCAGTTCTGATGTTAGAGCCATGTGACAGGTTAGGGCGGGAGGAGCGGAAAAGTCTATATTTTTAGAGCAATGCAGCGGGGAGCTAATTGCATGGATAGAGCCTCTGTCTCTGTCTCCATCTCTCACACTGACTTTGTATCCGTCTCTGTCCTTGTTCTGTCTCTGTTTCTGTCTCTTTGTCTGTCTCTGTCTCTGTCTCTGTCTCTGTCTCTGTACCCGCCTCTGTTCCTGTTTTTGCCCCCTTATCCGTCCCTGTCTTTATCCCATTATCTGTCCCTGTCCCTGTCCCTGTCCCTATCCCTGGCCCTATCCCTGTCCCTGTTCCTGTCCTTGTCGCTGTCACTGTCTCTGTCTCTGTCTCTGTCTCTGTCTCTGTCTCTGTCTCTGTCTCTGTCTGTCTCTGTCTTTGTTTCTGTCTCTATCTCTGCCTCTGTCTGTCTTTGTCTCTGTCTCTGTCTCTATCACTGCCCCTATCCCTCTCCCTGTCTCTGTCCATGTTTTTGTCTCCGGTCTCCAGTCTCCGGCCCGCAATCTCCGGTCTTCCGTCTATGGTCTTTGGTCTCTGGTCTCTGGTCTCTGGTCTCTGGTCTCTGGTCTCCGTCTCCGTCTCGGTCTCCGTCTCCGTCTGTCTTTCTCGCTGTGTCTGTCTCGTTCTATCCCCATCCTTTCTTGCACTGTCGCTCTCCCGCGTCTGAGAAACCAGATATACAGGGTTGGATTTCCCGCGGCGTCCGCCCTTCTTGCCACGGTGATAGGCAAACGACGCCATACAGCCAGATCAGCTGAGTACGTCGTAAAGCTCCAATGACTACGGCGACGGTGACTCTGGCTCTCGCCTCCGGGAAAGGCGGCGGCCTGGGGTGGGGCTCAAATGTGCGCTACCTGTTACTGTCTGCATCCTGAGCTCTGCGCTGTAGCTGCTTGGCAGCGGGAGCAAAAAGCACGGGATTGGTCTCATTGACCCTAATAAGCCTCGCTGGTTTGGAGTGCCACATAACTTAAGGCTTTTTCTTGAAGTTAGCTAGCATCTACCCTGTCCGTTGCTAAATCATTAGCGGGTGTGTGCTGTCATCACTTTGGGCCGAAAGGATGCGATTCATTTTGCACGTCCTGTTCCTGATGATTCTGAAAAAGTGTAATTTGCGGCTGCTCGGTGGAGATGTGGGTGTTCGCGTACCAAACTTATTCCGCTCCATGAGCACAATGGACACCGAGCCACTGGAGCATCACGCATCGGCGTCCAGCCGCCGAGGAATGCTGATTTTTCCAGAATGATATGTCGTTTTCCCCGGACAAATGCGCGTCACCTGCATGCGGCCCAATGCCATCAGTTGGCTTGTACAAGGATCCGGCGCAGACGGACGCTAAGCCTGATTTTTCGGTGCACGATCGGGCTAGGCCTGAATAAAGACGCAGTTGCACGCGGCGATTCGTGTCGTGCGCCAGACGACTAGAAAATTCGAATACTCGAAAGGTCGAAAAACCAGTTGGACGAGTCAGTTACTAAGTGAGCAGTCCTTTTATTAGAAGTGTTTACATTATTGGTGCCGACTTGTTTACTGCTCTCGCTTCTTCGATCTAGGCAGGTTAGTTGGGGGTTGAATTATCCATTTATATTCTCCATGTAGCTAGCCTGTGAAACTGAGTGTTTTGTGGCCATATCGCAGCGCGTGTTGTGTCACTGGTCCATCGAGTATGTTGTGTTATGGCTTACAATTGCAAGCTTCTACAGCATTCCCCATGTCTTCTGTTTTTCGTCCATATTCCATGCAAGCGCAGCCCAAGCAATCCGTCAGACAAAGGTTCTACCGTGATGGGCCCTGTTCTCCACAGGCACTCTATCCGTACGTGGTCTTATCATTTACCTGCTCTATGCGTGAGTTATGGTTACAAACGACAGACGGCGACTTTAACTCCTTATTTATCTCCATTTGTCTTATCACTTTATATTCGGTGAGAAATTCGAGGATCGCTAATGCGTGCGAAACGATAAGTAGGGTTAGCTGTAGAGGTAAACTGCATCTTTGCACAACTATTACAGCATACAGAAAACTCATCGCAAGACAGGTGGTACAAATTTATTGGACGACACTGCCGAAACTTCCCACGTGCTTCACCGAAGAACAATTTTGTTATTGGTTCCATAGCTTTATCGATGCCTTGGCAAAGACTGGCAAGGAGTTGGACCACCGTCTTTCTCCATGTCACAGGGCTTAGTATCATCACATAAAGCTTGAAAATGGAGGGGAAAATGCGAAGGTTTCTGCCTGTTTGCATTGTTTATGGTTTTACGCGCCCTAAGCATTGGCTTTGAGGGTGGAGACGGGAGGCCGACCTAGGAGGACGTGGTCGCCGAAAGCGCTACAGCGCTGCACCCATGACCACATCCGCATCGTCGCAGGGAAGCGATGCAGCAGTCTTGTGGGAGAGCCGTATGTGATGTCCGGGCTTCTTCAATGAACTGTTACGGGTGCGGCACGCTTTTATAAGGCGGCCAGCGTTAGCGATGTCATGAGCAGAGACGCCATGTATCCAAGTGGTCAAGGCGAGGCTGTATATGGTTGACTTGAGCCGGGAAGGCACGGCACGGCAGGCCTGGCCATCCGATCCCTAATGTGCCTGATGACGGCAAGGAGAAGGTGATCGTGCCATGGATGTTGCTTTCATTACGCGTGCATGAGTCAAAACATGCCAGCTTCAGTTGTGCCGCCGCGCGAAAATCACCGAGACAATGCAGCGCCAGCACACAATCGACGTATTCACCAACGCTTTCCACACGGGTGTTCAAAGCACCGAATCCTTTCCGTCCGCGAGTAAAAGAAGCCTTCCCTGCTCACCCTGAGCGCAGCCCGCTGGGCGATGCCTGCAGGTGCGGTGGGGAGCCTCTGTGCCCGGCTGTGCCCCGATCAATACCGGCTGCTACATCTGTGTCCGCTGGCCTCTCCGCCTCAATCAACAGGATCTGAGGCTTTCCCCGGCTCTGAAATTGGATGGCGCCGTCCGCTTCATGTCCCCTGCTTCATTCCCGGAATCCGGCCACAGGCAAGGGCTCTGGGATTCATCAGGCTGATGTGATCTTCTGGTGCATCGTGTGGACGTAAAGCTCTGTTCTTGCATCGTTTCAGATCATCTTCCCTTCAGCTTTCGTTCGAAGGGTTATCCCAGTCGTGCGCCATTTTTGTTTGTTTTTCATTCGATTAGGCCATATTCCCATGGAGCTCCATCGGGTGAGTCCCTCCCCGTCAAGTGCCTGTTCGTCATGTCATGTTTCCTCTGGCCCGAGATCGCCAGATTACATTCCCAGTCATTTCCGCCCGCTGGGCCATGTTCTCGTTATGTTCTCGTTTGTCAAGTCACGTTCCAGTCAAGTTCATGATCATTAGGCTCCGTTCCCGCTGTCCTTCCGTTCTTCAGGTCACACTTCGGTCCCAGTTCGTTCTCAGCTCTTCTTTGCTACGTCACATGGCTGTTGGCGGGAACGCTTGACCATCTGTAACACCAAGCAGTAATCTTACAATCGTAGATAATTATTTCTTCAGGCGGTCCTGAAAAAAATGTCATAGGTTA